CAACCGCCAAGGCGGTTGTGGGGCCTACCCTCTTTAACAACCTGTGGGGATGAGTGGTAGGCGGGCAAAGGCCCTTTGTGGCAGTTGGGTTCCATCATTGGAGGCATGTGAACAGGTCAAGGGGTTTGACTTTGAGAGCTGCTACGGACTTTAACGTCCAACTAAGAAAAATATAAAAAGCAAAAGGTAAAAGGGGATCTCGATTTTCTATCGATGCAATTCATGTCGCTAGAGTCGAGGCAGGAAGTATTTGGATGCCCTTCGACACATACAATCAATGCATTCGAAGGATTCCGATCTCTGCCAAGTTCGGATTAGGCGCACTTCGCATGGCGCGGTTTGTCGGATCGTTCGTGCCACCCGACTGCCAATCCGCGCCTTCCTTTTGCGGTAAACCGGTTGCAGGGCCTTTCATCGCCAACAGACGGGCTCATGATTACGATGTTTCTTGAAGTGAGATTGAATCCATAGTACTCAATTGAATTTAAGTTGATGACATTATTATTTGTCGAAGTGTGACGGAATCCATATTTAAACCATCTCGTTTACCGTGTGAATCAGTGTGATTGCATTGACTCTTCGATTAAGTTTCAGTTTTTGTTTCACACAATGTCATGTAAAGTACGTCCAACTCAATGATCAGTGATATACAAAATTAATCAAAGTGTGATGCAGACTGTGAGTTCATTCACAACCTTGTCGTTCATTGTCTCATTACGTTCACTGTTCGAGTGAATTTCAATCTATAACAATGACAAACCACTTATGTATTTTACGTAATATAAATTATTGGAGTGCGACGAAATCCATACTTAAACCATCTTGTTTACTGTGTGATTACCTTTACTCTTCGATTGAGTTGAACTTCCAATTTATGCAACTTACACCAGTTATGTCTTTTAAGTTTTACTTAGTACATAAATATCGAAGTGCAACGGAATCCATATTACTGAAACCATCTCGTTTATCGCATGATTGCCTTAAAGTCACATTTCGATTGAGTTCCAATAATGCATTGCCAAGTTGCAATGTCTAGTAAAATAGGTCTGACTCAATGCTCACACAAAATTGAGTAAGGTGTGCTGAAATCGAGAGTTCAACATTGTTGTTCAGTGTCTCGTTGCATTGAGTGCAACTGTTGAACTTCTCTTGAGCTTTAATTTATGACAACTCCATGTTTTACCGTAACGGCTTCTAAGTTACAAAATTTATAGAAGTGCAATGAAATCCACACTTAATCTATCATGTTCAGTACGTGATTGACTCGAACCTCCAGTTCAGTTTCAATTTATGGCCTGTCAATTGCATTCTTTGGGTTCACTACACGTATCCTAAGTTCCATTCAAGTCCAAAATATGATGATTTTGACATGAAATTAATAGCTTGGGAGTACCAATTTAAAATATAATGTTCTCTTTTAACAAATAACCTAGGCTACCAGAGTGGCACGGGGTCACTTGCCCGGCCGGGCCAAAAATAATCATAAAAATAAAAATAATTTTTTTTTTTTTTTTTTTTTTTTTTTTTAATAACGTGCAGAATCTCGACGGGGGCCGGTGGCGACCGTCCTGCAGCTTATTAAAAAAAAAAAAAAAAAATTTTTTTTTTTTTTTTTTTTTTTTTTTTTTTTTTTTTTTTTTTTTTTTTGGATTTTTTTTTTTTTTTTTTTTTTTGGCTGGGACCTTTTCTGGTCCTTGCACGTCCGGGCCGCCTTGGAAAATAAGGTAACCCGGACGGCCCGACTGGTAACCTAGCTTTTGGTGTCATTTCTGCACACTGGCTGGCCCGGTAACGGCCACTGTGTAAAAATGGTGGGAAAGTGTTTTGCAGGGTGCAACAATGACGTCGAAAGTGATTTTGGGGCCTGCGGCACGTTTTTCCTCATGTGGGGGGAAATGCATACAAAGGTTTCGCCACGGGGCGGTTTTACAACTTTTCCTGCATCTTTCATTCTTTTCCAATGGCATCAAATTTATGCCTCAATCATTCCCTTCGTTGCAGTCCCTGCTTCGGTCTGCGAGTTATGGGTATTGTTGAGCGTCCTGCTGCAGCCCGAACCATGTCCTCTTTGATTTCTCAAACTGGGTAGGGGTATTAGTCCAAAGAGTCAGAGAAGGAGCGAGGAGGGGTGCTCAGGGAATGTGGAGGGGAAAAAATGGTCCGGCTGGTTCTTTGGCCCTTTTGCATCTGATCAGACAGTGGATTAGGTTTTTTTGTTATTGGTTTGAACATGACGCATAGGTCCGAGCTATTAGGGTCGCTGTTCTCCCAATTTCGATGTGACCCGGAGGCAAAAGTTGTTCAGTTTATTTTTCTGCATCACATAGGTTTTTTTCGGATTATTTTGATTTTTTTTTTTTTTTGCTGGGACCTTCCCTAGTCCTTGCACGGGCTGGCCACCGGGACCCGGGCGGCCCGGCTGGTAGGCTAGCAAATAACATGTTCATTTCATTGTTATCACACGGAACTCCGTCTCTACCCATGCATACTCTGCGTCAATGTCGTACCCCCGTTCACCGTTCACGAGGTCTGTGACCGACATGGAGTTCATGGAGTTCACGGCGTAGGAGTTCATGGAGTTCACGGAGAGCGGGATCGGGTTTTTTTTTTTTTTGGCTGGGGGGGGTGTTTTTTTTTATAGGAGGGTGGGGGTTATCGGAGAGTAACCCCCCATAATTTTTTCAATTGTTCTTTTGACGATTAATTTTTTTTTTTAGTTAAAAACGAAAAAAGAAATACAATCGGTCAAAACAAGCATTTTGGTCTGTTATTTTGTAGGTCATTTGGATTCTTTTTTTTTTCCTTAAACCACCAATACTTGGCCCAACTATCGGCCGTGGAAACAAAAAGAAGAGAAACGTTTCTAGTCGGATGAATTTGGGTGCTCCTGTAGTAGCCCGTACGTTTCCTAAACTCGTGGCGCGTTAACGGGCACGACTCTAGGAAGTACTGGTGGTTTAATGTCATCACCCTGTGGGGCTTGACGCGACGGTAGCTGGGTGGGCCCCCCTCCCCCCAAAAAAAACACCACTCTTTCGTGGTCTACCCATTCACCATGAACGACCGCTCACAGGTGCAGGGCCAAATGACCGGCCATTCACGTTCAAGTGACTGGTGCAGGTCACGTTCACAGTGACGCCATACCTCTCCTGGGAGCATTGAGTTCAAGTGCCAGCGGATACCGCCAGCACTCGAAGTGAGGCTTTTCTTTGTTTTTTTTTTCCAGCAGGTGATCCTGGTTCAGGGTTGGTTAAGCCAGTTTCAAGTGCAGGCTGTTGACGGGTTTCCTCAAGTGTACATGGAACCAAAAAATTGAGTACGTGTAAATTAATCACAATTTCTGGTTTAGTGCACACTTGAAACTCAAGTATTTTCCAGTGATGTCGAAAGAGGGACTTTAGGCCCGTTGGTACTGCGACCTTTTTCAACACCATTAATGTTCTAGTTGGTACACCGACCTGTGCTCGAGTCCAGGTGATCGGTTGCGTAAATTAAATCTTAAGTGGAAACTTGTGAAGCTCTTAGCGAAGAACTCAACTAAGTACGGCACAGCTTGCAATGCGCGAAGAACGCAACTGAATGTACGATGGGTTCAAGTGAATGCATGCAGTTCAGAAGTCGGGCGAAGTGCAGGACCTTCGCCCTGGTCATATCATGGGTTGGTCATGCCAAACCACGGACTCGGCCGCACACCATGAAACACGTCGGCCATACGCCACGTGACCATGGTTACCCGTCTTCACCCGAATAGAACGCCCGGTCATTATAGCTGCATTTGGCACAACTCTCTGTCCAGATGCAGCGATAATGACCGGGCGTTCTATTCGGGTGAAGCCGGTAGTTTTACCGGATGGGACGTCGGCCGAGTCCTCTCGGAGGAAGACTGCCGCGGACCGTGCGGCCTGATGGGGACGGAGCTGTGTGCACGCGGCACAGGACTGTTAGCGAACGCGGGACAACCAACGGCTCCACTTCGTTCGGGCGAAGTGGGGCGAAGCGGGGCAAAGTGGAGAGCGCAGGAAGACTACCTCAGCTCAGCAAAAACACCGGCGATAAACTACGTTGCGGCAGTGCTCCGGACAACGCAGGGAGATGAGGTGCAACTTGCGTGGTGATGAACGAAATACACAGGCGACGCTTCGGGAGCTCGAATCCGGTCAAAGAAAAGGAAAGCAAGCAATTCGAAGACCAAGCAGGCTCTTCCTTTTTTTTGTTGTTGTTGTTGTTTTTTACCAAGCTGGATCTTCTTGGCTGGTGGTTTGGCGCCTGAAACAGATCCACGCCTCCACGCCTAGTTCCCGACGGCAGATACGTTGGCGGGGACTCGAAGACCAAGCTGGCTCGTGTTGGCTGTGTTATTTCTCGCTGTGAGTGTAGTTCCCGCCGCTGACGAAGAGGTAGTTGCTGCACATCTCCGCGCGATTTTTGTTTTTTTGTGATCTCCGAAGCAGCGAGGGTGGTATGCGCGGACGTATTCCTCAGTGACACCCTCGGTAAGATCGTAACAGCGACTCGCCCGTAGAAAGTGTCGCGCTACGCCGGAGGGACTCGTCTCGGACGGAAGCTCTCTGCATCCAACGAGTGCCAGCGCCGTTTCTCGTTATGATGGAGGCAAGTCCGTGGCGGGGACGAAGTGCTTTGGGGTGTCTGGTCGGGTGTAGATAGAGCACGCACGCATGCAAGTCGAGCTGTCAGTAGTAAGTCGCATGCCGGATGGTGGGGAATGCAAGGTGTGAGGGATGGCTGGGCAGAGGTGATGGGATCGAAGGTCATCGAGCGATTGGTTATGGCAGCCATGGCGATTGATTGAAGGAGAGGACGGGAGTCGGGGCCAGGAGTGACAAGAGTAACTGACGCAGTGCTTGACAGGCTGCCTCAAAGACATACTTGGCGCTGACCGACGTGAGGTAGAACCCGGCGTTATTTGTTTTAGTTTTTTTTTGCTAACAAAAGAATGGCTTATCGCGAGCGGCTGTCCCTGTGCCAACGTAGGTGATAGGCTAGATTAGTGATAGACCGATCAACCTTCTGCCTCTGCAATTGCCTGGATTGGACAGTGGACACTAACCCTCTCAAGCTTTCTAGTAGGCAGTAGATTAGTAATCCCAATTCCAGTGGGCAATCAAATTCTCAGCCAGTTCATAGCTGGGTAGGCGGTCGCTGTTGTAGAAGAGTTGACGTCGTGACGATGGACTCCCGGGGGCTATGGGCGAACAGATGGAGCGGAGCTCCTGGGCGGCGTGCTGCTGCCATTCCCCCCTCCAAGAGGACGTCATCGTTCACATCCGGCGATGGCGGCGGGAAGAAACGGCCACGCGGCGTGAGTCTCGGCTTGACCCTGTTTACAGGGACGTCCCCTCCGGAGTCGCAATGGGATATGCACCGAGGAGAGGAGGGGCCCAGGGAGGAGGTATCGAGCAGCTGGAGGCAGGCTACCAGCGGCATGGAGTTTTCCATCTGCCAAGGAAGGGAGGCAATTCGCCACCGATCCCAGGGCGGACTTGAACTCTCGCCGACGAGCATGGAGCGAGTGCTGCCTTTCGCTCCCACTGATTACCCGACGAATGCAGCCACTGGGCAGCGACTACCTCCAGCTGCAAGAGCCGAGCATATCTGGATTTCGTCGTCCAACGCTGGTGGTGCCGTTGCTGGTGTTCCTCCGAATGCATTGGCTGGTACGGCCTTGGCTGTTGGTGGTGTTGCCGCTGGTTGTCTAGGGGAGGGTGTTGATGTCCCTCCCTCTCCTATCCTTCCTACCTTCTCTACAGATATTCTTGGGCGTGGCTTCCCGCTAACTGGGCATCGGCAGCGGACTCCAGTCCCTGACGATGCCCCCATTTCTTCACTCCCTGCCTTCTCTGCCGATCATCTCCAGAGGGACTTCTCTCTTTCGTCTCAGCTTGCCCACCCATCTCCCTCTGCGATTACCCCCGCTTTCTCAGTTTGTTCCGCTTTTCCTACGCGTTCCTCCGACTGTCGAAGGAACATTCGCCGAGGCTCAGCCTTTCACCGCCAAAGCCAACAGCCTCGACCAATCATGCCCTCGGACATGCAGCCGCAGGGAAGTTGGGCGCCCGGGCAGTCGGACTTGCATTTCCGTCAGCCTTTGTCTCTGCTCTCGCCCTCCCACGAAGGCCACCGTGAGCTGAGCTTTGGCAGTCAGCTATCTGGAGCAGCTAGTGCCTTCGGGTTCCTTCCCGCCGGTGAACGCCAAGAGCCGCAGCATTTGCTGCAGCAACAGAGGAATCCGGCGGCTGATTTCCTGGAACCCAGGGAAGATGTCGGCGAGAGCTTCCCCACGACCACCGATCTGTCTCCCAAGGATTGGAGTCGTCCTTGGCTGCAGACAGGCAAGCAAGAGTTTCGCGAGCCGCTGATGACTGCTACTGACGATCGGGCCGTAAGTCGGGAGCGGCCTTTCTTTTTGCCTCTGCCATCGCCAATGACGATGAGGGCCATGGACGAAGTCCTGGCAGGTGCTGGTCCGTTTGCCGGTCAAGCCGCCAGACCGTCACCCTCGATGGTCCCGGTCCCGTCAACATCGCTGTTGAATCGGGACACGGAAGCACATGATTACAGGGCATTTCCTAATGCAGGCGGGCCGAGGAAGGTCTTCACGGGAATACCCCAGGCCCAGATAACGGACGAGCGCCGCTGGAGAGGGTGGGCAGGAAAGGAGATAGCGCACCAGGGGTTAGGCGTTGGTCCTTCGCCGACGACCAGTTCGCCCTGTCCACTTCCTGCAGCCGCTGGACCGAGCAATCTCTTCTCGGGCATATCCCAGCATACGGACGAGCGCTGCCGCGGACGTCAGCGAGGAGGAGATCATGACATGCGTCCCCACGTGGTGCGACCTGCGCTGTCAATTCAGCACCCTGGCACGGGCACGCTAGTCAACCGCTGTCCTCCAACCCCTTGTCTTGTCTCAAAACCTTTTGCGCCTTCACCTTCTGCGCCTTCACCTTCTGCGCCTTCACCTTCTGCACCTTCACCTTCTGCGCCTTCACCTTCTGCTCTTTCACTCTCCCACGCGTCGATGCATCGGGATCTTTCTAACCCTCCCACCTTTCTCACGGCCGATCGTACGGGTGCCAAGGACACATCTCTGCACCATTCTGTTCTCCCAGCGAGTGGCACTGATCGGTTGCCTCTGACCACCACTCACGCCTTTCCCGAGAAATCCTGTCCTCCTCCTCCCTTTCGACAAGATCAGGTTATCCCACCCAGCCCGAAAAATGTCTGCCGTTGGCAATGGTGGCAGCCAGCACTCTCTCTCGACCATCAGGGCGAAGCGCAGCGATTTACCCACGCATCGCCCCTGATGACTAACCTTGTAGATAGCCCCAAGGGGGGGATGATGAGATTGGCGGCGGCAACGAGGGGAGAGAGCGAGGGTGGAGTCGACCATCCTTCGCGGGCTGCTGACAACACCCGGGAGACTCAGGCGTCACTCCCGAGAGCCGATGAAGGTGGCAGACCGGTTTCACAAGAGCGGCGCAGCCATGGTCAAGCAGGTTCAGGGGATGGGGATCGTGGGAAACTGCTTTGGGTTTGGGATGAGCAAGTTGGCGGCAGTCAAGCGGGGGCTGGCGATGGAGACTTCGCCAAACCGGCTTCGCGAGAGCAAGGCAGAGGCAGTCAACTGGCATGGACTCGGGAGGGGGATTGTGTCAAGCCGGTCTCGGAAAGGCAGCGCAGTGGCAGTCAAGCGGGGGCTGGAGACCGGCATGTCAACCGGGTGGAGGAAGAGAGCGGGGACAGGCGGAGCAAGTCGACGACGTCGGGTGGGGGGGCTACGGGCGGAGCGGGTCTGAAGGAGGATAGCAGGGGGGATGAGCAGGCGGAGGCGAAGCAGGAGCGGCAAGGGGAAGAGGAGGAGGCGGCGACGAAGCAGCGAGAAGGGCCAGGTCTGATGGGGTCAAGGAGGGGCGAATTTACTCCGCTGCTGCCGATTGCGTCGAACGTGGATCGCACGTTCGACTTCGATCGAATTGGGGGGGGTGGGCAAGAGGGAGATGGCCGTAAGATCGGCGTGACATCAGCACCCGTCACCGGCGCCGAGCTCAGGAAGCCGATTGACGCTTGCCCGCCCGTCGATGTCCCAGTGAAGATGGCCGCGAGTGGAGGAGACGCTTACGCCTCCGAGAGTGCTGGAAATCCTGTGTCTTCTCAGAAGGTAAGTATATGCCCCAAAACGGTGTCTGTTATCGTTAAGCTCACGTCTAATCAATATAGTTTAGTTATCTCTAGTGCCTTCTGTTAAAGCCTTCAGATGTTTACATCGTCATATGCTTATATCGTTTAAATGGCCATTCTCAACACGCTCTACCATCTGATGAAGTCTTAACTACAAATCCGCTTTCTGTGGTGAAGATGACGGGCTTCCGTCCCCCTCTCTTCTTCTTCCTTTTCCTTCCTTTCCTTTTCTATAAGGGCGATGGGGTTGATATATTACCTTCGATTTGACCAGCCCCAGGTAATTCAGAGCTTGCAATCATCTCTCTTCCATTCGGACTCGAGCACAGGGATGTATCTCAACAGTTCATGGGTGTGCTGGCTTTCACATCAGCCTCCTCATGGGTGTATTGCCTTTCACTTCAGACTCTTGCTGTCTCTCTTGCCCTCAATCTTCAGTAAACAGGTCCATTCTTTGACTCCCAATTCTTATCGTTTTCTGACAGTCCTTCAGTTTTGCAATTATGACTAAACCTGAATCTCTGTTCTTGGCATCGTTATGGCGAATTGAATTTATCCGCATCGAAAAACCTTGTCAACATTCGTTAATTTCTTTCTGCGTGTATTGCAGTCGCTTCCGTTTACGTTCCGTTTCTCTCCGTTACGTTTCGTCGTTAATTTCTTTCTGCGTGTATTGCAGTCGCTCTGCTAGTTCTTCTTTTTCGTTTTGCTTTTGAAAGCATAATTACCACCTTATTATATAACCGCACCCTCTGTTCATTCAAGCAGGCGTCAGATTCCGTCAGTCCAGCTAGAGGGGTTTGTTCGACAAGTGGTGCGACTATTGTACTCGTTGCAGCAATTACTGACGTCCTCGTGGGAGTTACCACGGCTATTGTTAGATGTACTTATATTATAATCCCGATAAAAAAAAATTTGAGTGATGTGATCACCCAAAAGAACATAAACTCGTCACGAGTCTCGACGTGACCAAGAAATCGTAGTTATCGGTCAACTGCTGGCCGCGGCCTTTTTTCATTCAGGCGGGCGTCAGTCTAGTCAAGGAGGTTTGTTCAAGAATTGTGGCTGCTGCACTCGTTCTTAGGAATTAATTCATTATCAAGGCCGTTGGAGGAATTGACCACGAGCGCTGTTAAATGCAATTTCAGGAATCGATTAAGTATGAAGTCGAAGTCGGCTTTAAAAAGTTATCAAGTTGCTTGTGGGAATTGAGCACGACCGCTGTTAGATGCACTTATAAATTATAATCCCGATAGAAACTCTTCGAGTCATGTGATCGCCCAAAAGAACACAAAGTCGTCACGAGATGACCAAAACATCGTAGTTAAGGGTCAACGGCAGTTCATGGTCAACAGTAGGTTGTCAATGTCGCTAGGGTCCTAGGGATAATCAGTTATTAAGGTCTTTATTTCGACAGCATCCGAGGAGACCGGGACGGTGTGTTCACGTCGAGCCGTCTTGACTAGATGTTTCGCAGCACTCTGGCGGGTGTTTTCCCCGTTTTTCAGTGGCTCCGATTTTATTGTCAACTCGCGGTCAGGATATCTTTTGCGTGCTTGGTTTCTTTTCCTCTCTCTCTCTCTCTCTCTCTCTCTGTGTGTGTGTGTGTGTGTGTGTGTGTGTGCTATATGCAAGAGTTTTGATGTGGATGACGATGAGCTCTGTTCATGGAATTTGCTTATCTATTTGTCAAATTGACTTACCGCCGTTACCGGTTCGTTAAGTCGTTGCTATAGGTTGAGTGCAGAAACAGTCAGTATCATTGTTTTAGGGTGTCGGAGGTAACACCCATTGCGAGGATAATCGCTCTTTGTTGATAGTGCCGTCGGTTTTGACGGCTTGCCATTTGTGCTGGGAATACTCAGACAATGACTTCGTCGACTGAATCTGGTTATAATTAAGGGTGAATACGTTGGCAGGTACGCTCAGAATTTGAGTGCGGGTAGTCGGGGAAGACGCCAGATCGTTTGACTAGACCGTCAAATCACGAAAGCCCGCCTTTCCGTGAGGAAGGTGGGCTTCAGGTTCACCGTCGTCAATCTCGAGGGAAAAAAAACAACGGTCAGGATTCTTACTTATCCTTGTAGGTCACTGTAGGATTGTTTGATCTCAGAAAACAAAAGGACACACACGAAAAGGAGCAGAATCTTTTTTAGAAAAAAGAAAAAAAAAGGGACCAGAATCTGTCTCTTCGCAGCTATGAAACACGGTGCCCTGCAATGGTTACCATCGGTATGCATATGCGCGGTGCTTGGTGTCCGCTTCGTGCTCGGTTGCTTGTCGGTAAAGGATTCTGCCGAGTCGTGCCGACAACCTGCTTTGATTAAAAGAAGGATCGGTGAATAGGTTCTCCGAGCGGTTGCCTGTCTCAACCCCCTCATTGGGTTTACCTTGTCGGAGCTATGCACGTGGTTTTTTTCTGGACTCCGGATAGCAGAGGGTTTAAGGGGGAGGAGGATACAGCGGGGGATGCTTTTGGTACTGGGAAGGTGATCAGTGGGACCGGACACAACTGGGACGACCGACGGACCTGGCTGATTACATGCACGTGGATCGGAACGGCTCACATAGTGACGGACTCGGTGAATGAGAGAAAAATTCATGGGTAAGGATTAGAGACGGAAGGCAGACGGAAAGCAGCGTAAACGACATGAGATACACATCTGAGAGCGAGATAGAGCAGGGTGAAGAAAAAAAAGAAGGCGATCCCTGAGCGTAAATAGGCATTCGAAAGGTAATGGAAAATGCCGAAGAGTAAAAGGCAAGACCCAGAAAGCCATATCTTTAATGCACAGGCTGTTGATAAACCCGATGGGGACAGGAACATCGCCGGGATGGTGTAATAGTGAACGCATATATGCTGCGCGGCGTTACCAACCAGGCGGCCCGGATTGCCCGGGCAGCCCGGCCAGGCAAGGGCCAGGGAAGGTCCTTTTCCCAAAAAAAAAAAAAAAAAGGTAAAACAAACACGTTGTGCAGAAAAATGGAGTGAACAACTTTTGCTTCAGGGTCACACCGAATTCCTTGCCTTCTTTGTTAACGAAAAAAAAAAATCTTTATTTTTTATTTATGTTTTTAATTCATTTTTAGTCCGTCCGGGCATTGCGGGCAAGTGGTCCCGGGCCACTCCGGTGACGTAGATGTTACGTGTATTGGCTGTCTTTTCGTTAGCTGTCTCATGTGTGTGTGTGTGTGTGCGCGTGCCCCGGCGCGCATGCAGGCGTGGGCTTGTTTGAGTGTGTTTGCGTCCGAGCGCGTGTGAATTTGCGAAACGTTTTTTTTCTCTCTTCTTTTTAATGTGAGGGTATAGGGAAGATACGCTCTGTACCCGTATGCCTACAATTAGAGTAGTGGTAGGTAGGTAGTGTGAGGTGAAATTGAGAGAAGAACATAGCTTTAAAAAAAAAAAAAAAAAAAAAGATACGCTGTTTAGTATCTGTTCTGATCAGTTCAATGTCCGATCCCCCAAAAAATTAAAAAAAGAGAAAAAAAAAGCGCTCTGTAACGAGTTTTAGTGGGGCGCTGTGGGGATAGAGGGAAGATGTCCTCTGTAACCAAGGAGCGGATAACGAAGTGAAGGTAGATATGGACATCATGTTTCTGAGTCGTTATTCTCGAGAGTAAATATTTTTGATAGGTGCGTCCGGCCTAGCAATTGCTGCAAGGCCCATTTAGATGAACTGTGCGGATGAAGAGAAGGCCCTGGGATCAACGGTCGGCTGTATTCGCTTTACCAGGGGTCGAGCTCTAAATTGACCGATCCGCAGACATGGGTGGGGACCGGTCACCGTCGTGGCAAATTTTCCTGGTTGTCTATCCATCACTCGGCTCCGTGGTAAATGAATTCGAAGGTTTGCCCATTCAAATGTATCTGGACGTGAAGATGCTCAGGTGCGTGATACGTATTTAACTGTTCGAATGCTCACATTGAAGTCGGATAAATTCCAGCCGTGGAATTCCGATCATGAGCAGTGCCCATGATCTCATGCATTCGCATATGTGATGTCATTCTTTGTCCCTTTTGATTTAGCTCCGTGTCTATTGCATCTCTTTACCACAATCTCGTTCAAAACTCTTCGCTATGCCATCGATAGCTGTCGGCGTGAAGGCGCAGGCAGGAGGAGGCAGTATGAACGGTCTTGAGTTCCCTTTGGGCTATGTTGTACGTTATACCAAGGAATTACTTTTCTATTATCCTGTTCCGATCATGTCTGCTTTGTGTCCCACTTTCGTCGTATTATTTATGCGCCGCTACCAACTGGTTGCCATGCATTAAGCTTAACAAACGGTCAGGATGGTGGCGATGCATTTAGCGAACTACGGTCAAGAAATGTAGCGATCACGTTCTTACCGCCTTGCGGGAATGATTCTCTGAATAACAGTGAAATGCACGGCTTAGTCTATGTTTGGGTTGAAGTCGAAAGGTCAAGCGAATGCACAAAAGAGCAAAGATATGGTGGCGTATCGTTCCATGTTCTAGCGGAAGATTCATTCTCAATTTTGCACATTTGCTGAAATAGCGGACTCGGAGCGAGGCCCGTTGCAAGTCGGTTATTTACTTGTAATCGTGCACAAAGCGAAGCGAAGTTTAGAAGAATCAGGAGCCTGAATCGTGGAATGATAAATCTGAAACAGCCTCGGGAGTTACGAGCGCTTCCATCGATGATCGATCAGCTACCGTCTTCCCCCGAACATAACGCACCCTGAAAATGAACGTATGCAAGGCATGTTTCCGGCCCGATACGGTCAAAATGAGGGTGCGTTGTGTTCGGGGGAAGACGGTAGTCATCGGCCATCAAGACGAGCGTCCCCTGCGTTTCATAGACCCATGCATTTCGGGGGGCTCCTGCACAGGCTTCATCCCGAGAAAAACTTCAAAAACTCTTTCAAATTGGGCCTGCACAGGCTTCATCCCGAGAAAAACTTCAAAAACGGGATAACTGGTAGAAAGAGCCCACCCGAAAACCTTTTCGGTTTTGG